GGAGTCTGCAAAACAAAGTTCTGAGTGCTTAAACTTTGTGGAATTATTCTAATTTAATTCACATTTTCTAAAGCATAGTTGCTGGTGCTTGCCGCGCCAGAATATAACCTTTTGAAATAGCTGTAAAATCAAGAAATCTCAGTTTACAATGACTTATTGTCACAGCATAGCTGTGTTTAACTATATTACACCAATTAAAGCATGACAGGAGTCATAAATTCCATTCCTTAGTCATTTCTAGATACGTTCAGTGATCTTTAGCCCTATTTTGTTGGCAACTAAAGCATTGCTACTAACAGATAGCATACAGTGGTGTGCTTTATTCCCTTCCTGTGCAGCTGACATTTGTTTAACTGAGTCGATACGTCACTGTGAATACCTTGCAAGAATCTGATTGAGCAAGTAACACCTGCTGTAGTTATTTTACTGATAACCCACTTCAAATGAAACGATTTACAGCCCTAGAGAATGAATACATGTTGCTGATAACAATGAAGTCTGTGAAAGTGCATAGTCCAATCTTTGGTCAAGTAGGCTCTGAGTTGACTTGCTTGATGAAAGCAACATGGGGGAACTCAGTAATCTGATACCTGAGCCAGTGTTACAAAATGTTGTTTTTCAATTGCTTTCAGATCCTTTCCCATTATGGCACTGCTGTGTTTAAAATCCATGATAAATGAACACTTTTAAGTCGGCCCATTATTTGATCTGGCTACCATCACATAAATGAGCCGCCGAAGCCCTATAGAGGCACTGAAGAGACAGACCATAATTTCTTTCACTTAGATTTTGATCACTCTTTGTGGCTGTGCTCTTTAACGGATAGGGTGGTTGCAGGTAGGCAAGCCTCAAGAAGCTTACCAGTGCCTCATAGAATTGTAGGCACTGTACAGTATGGAATCAGGCCTTTTGGGCCAGCTCGCCCATGCCAGCCAGCATTTATACCCCACAGGAGCCTCCACCATTCTAATCAATGCAATTCTCAATTAACTAAATAATTTGAAAGTAGTAGGATTTGGCAGGGAAAATATAATTTTAAATAAATTCAGTAGTAATATATCCATGTTATTGGAATAAAATCCTTACTTGTTCCTTATTATTGGGTGGGATTCAGAGCAGTGGAGTCCTGTAGCTCAGTGGTTAGAGCACTCACTTTGCAAGTGAGAGACCTGAGTTCAATTCCAGGCAGAGGGCGAAAACTTGGTCAAGTTTCCTTACTCCACACGCCTAATAATAATCCCTCCAAAAAAAAAACAATAATAAATTGGTCATTTTCAATCTATGACTGTTTGTGGGGCATTGCTGTGCGCAATTGGCTGCCGCGTTCACCCACAAATATACAGTCAATTCACTTTACAGTATATTCTGTGAAGCACTTTGAGACATCTAGAAGACGTGAAAAGCGCTATATCAAATGCAAGGATTATTATTATTATTATTATTCCTGTTCAAATTCCATTTTTTCTGAAGTTTTTAAAACCAGATATGATTAGTTAACGCTGACAGCATAGTACATGGTTGGAGAGCTGCCAGAACCTGTGGAACCTTACCGTTTGTTGAGTGACCATATTTAGGAGGCTCTGGGCAACAGAAGGTGTTATCTGCACCGGGTTCATCAATATGCCCTCATATTTTCATGTTTTGGTATCTAACTTGATTGGTATAAAGGGGCATAAAGAAGTGAGCTGCTGCTGCTACTGAAGCTCTGCACTTCCAAGATTATGCCAATGCTCTCACACATTTCATATTGAGTTGTGCTGCTCACCAAGAAGCTCAAAATTAAGTTTCTGGTACCTGCCATCCACCTAGTGAGGCACCTGTTGGATGTCTAATGACCATCTAAGTGATCATTCTCCTGGATTAGAAATGGAGGGGAAGTGAGGTGTCCTTGGGACTGATCTGGCTGTAAGGGGATATAGATATACCTGGCAATGGATTATCAGAATTGAGTCTACCCTTTGTGGCAGTCTCTGAAGTCCATTTTCTGAGAAAGGCAGGTCCTCTGTACTCAAAGGCACTGTTCTTGGTAGATCGTCCCTCGTGTTCATTGGCATGAGTTGGAGGGGAAGCGATTCTTCCTATTTGGCTCCGGTTAACCTTGTAAGCCAAAACTGTAATTGGGTAGGATAGTCTTAGGTGGACAAGCAACAGGAAATTTGCCAGACAGTGCTCGCAATGCCAAGCTGTGATTTTCAGTGGTTAAGCTACAGCAGGACCCCAATGCACATTCTTAAGTCCCTAAACCTCAATTCCTTGTGTGCATTCCATTCCAGAAAGATGGGAAATTTTCCTGTGCAGATCGCATGCATATGTGGAATCAGTCTATTTTGGATATTGTTACTCATGCGTCAGCACCAGGCTGACCAAAAACAATCTTCAGGAGGGAAGATTACTTGAAGGGGAAGGTAACATGTAGCTAGTTTTAACCCTGTGCCAAAAATTCAACAAACAGAAATAAAGGCAACTTAAATGTTAGAAGTTTCTTTATTGCTATGATATTCGCCATGGAATGTAAAAGTGAACAGTTAAAGAAAAGACTTCTGCTTACTTTGCTTATCACTCCCCCTTCTAGCTGCATTCTCTCTGACGTCCACCTTTACATGTTTCATCTGCTATAACCTGTCTAGGTTTGCCATATACTGTATTTAATAATGATAATCCTTGCAATTGATATAGCGCCTTATAAAAACAAACCAATTTATTTTGATATAGTTGCAGATATATTTTCTGCTGCCTTCCAAGACCTGCTGTTCATTTTGGAGGTGGGAGCAACAATCATTGACCCCTGACTGGCAACTGACTTCAAAGATCTAAACTAAATATTGACGCAGTTGTGTCATAGACATGACCAGGCAATGATTGAGACAAATTTCTCACAAAAAATACCGGAGCACTCCCATTTATTTATTCCCAGACACAATAATTTGTCTCGGATACAGCAAGAGTTATTATATTTCCCGTAATTCTTCATAAAATAATTATATAATATATAATAACATAATAATCATTACATTTGGTATTGCACATTTTACATTGGGAAGATGTCTTAAAGTGCATCACAGGATATACCATAAGGAAAAAATTGGTCTGTTACTATAAAATATGTATACCTTGGTACAGTCCCAAACACCTTTGACTGCTAACAGTAGGAAATCTTGTTTGCTCCAATAAAGTAAAGTAAGAACTAAGGGTATTGAAGGATATGGAGCAATGGCAGGGAAATGGGATTAAAAGATCAAACAAACTGGGAAACAGGGTCAAATAGTTGAATGGACTCTCCTGTTCGTATATTCCTAAAAGCTGCTGAGACAAGCTACTTTTCTCTGATATGTAAATATTTTGAATGTCATATCGTGGAACGTTTTTAACGGTGCAAAAACAACTGGAGACCGATAATCAGTGCTTCACTGACTTCCTATTTCTCAAAGCACTTTCAGAATGAATGACTAGGCATTGCGTGATCAAGAATGACAGTTCTGCTGTGACTAAGAGAACAAATTTCAGGGCTATTTTTGTTGTGTCACTTGCGTCAATAAAATCAGACTGGTAGAAATCATTTTGGAGGCTACCTTGACTTTAATAACAAATACTAACAGCATTTTTTAGCACAAGGGCTTTCAGCTAATTAACCCATCAATCCCATTTGCTGCTTTCCCTTTATGATAATCTTGCTTCGCTTTATCTGTTCTCCTTATCTGTTTACATTTTTCTTCACGTAAGGAGAAAATATATTTGTGCTAACGACTTATTATTGCCCATGCAGTAATGTCAAGGCTATTCTGCATATTTTCTCCCTCTGCCAGTAATGAACATATGTAACAATCAGACCAACAATTAGCCCTGAAATGCAGATATCTAGTGATGCAGAATAGTCACAGTATGTACTGTTCCCTTTATGTTGCTTCACTGAAAAGCACTTCTGTTGTCCTTTGGTACTGCAGTTTGTTTTGGTACGCCAGATATCCGACACATGCAGAAACCCATCACTATGTTTAATCATATCTAAACCAAGCTGAGAGTTCCGTGCATCCCAAGGAAATTCACATTTATTGGAATGGAATGTGCACTCTCTCCTCGAGTGCTTTGGTAGTTGCCCATTTACTTACTAAGGTCCATTTCACAGCACTAGCAACAACAGTGATTAAGACTGCCTTAGTTTGAGGAATATAGCCTTCGCTTGAGCTCAATTGAATTGCATTAATGCAATACACCAGCAGTGCATAATAATAATAATTCTTTAATTTGATGTAGCAACTTATTCAACGTCTCACAGAATTTTCTGTAAAATGTAGTTATGGGTGAAAATAGCAGCCAATTTGCACACAGTGATTTCCCACAAATCAAGCAGAAATGAAGTGAATGACCTTTTTTGTTGTATAACCGGGGGATTGTTGGCCAGGAAAATCTCCCTTCACTTTTTGAATAAGTCTCATGGTTCCATCGAAGTCCTGTGTTAAAGTCCTTTTAATACCCATCTGACCAGTCAGAGATCTTGGTTTAACCTCTTATCCGAGTGCGGCACATCCAACAATGCAGCATTGGAGTGTTTGTCTATATGAGCTCAAAGTCGCATCATGGGACTTAAACCCACAACCTTCTGATTCAGAGGCAAGACTGCTATTAAATGAGCCAGGCTAACACCTGGCATGTATAGTTATCTGTGAGTCTTAATTACTGGCTTCTTTCTGTGAACCTAACCAAACTCTGTGGAAGATGCATGCAGACCAATACAGTACTTGCACCTGCTTTATCTAATCGTGATTTGTTTTATTTGTTGTGGTCAAAGTGCACTCTGAGAAAGTAATGTATTGTAGCCTTAGATTTAACTTTGCTAAAATCTTTTATTACAGGAATTTAAGAAGAGCAGACAGGTGCTTATCTTAAATCATGGATATAAATGTGTTTGTCATGAGCAGGAATCAGTACCTGGTTATTTGAGCCTTATGACGACATTCTAAGTTTGAAATAAATTTACAGAATTTCTTTTTTTGTTTTCATAGATGGTGGCAACTTTCTTACAGGTGAGACATCTCCATAGCTTTGGATGAGCTGCTTTGCTTACAGTCTTCTTTCTCTGCTGATGGCATGAGTCAATCATATTATGGTGCTTTCTGTGAATGGCATGAACTTGGCACTTCAATACTTTTGGAATTCTACCGTTTTCAAGCATTAGTGCCTTTCTTTCACGAGTCCGTTTTGGAAACGAACTGGTCTGCATGCTCTGTAGAAGGTTGCATCTCCCTTCAATAGTTTTCTACCTGAAGCTTCTTAAATCTTCTTGGGCACAAGATTCTACAAAAAATTAGGTACAATTATACTCACGCACGTCCTATGCACATTCTCAGATCCCTAATCCAAATAGCCATTTTATGAAAACAAAAACAGAAGTCGCTGGGAACACTCATCAGGTCAGGCAGCATCTATAGAGAAAGGAAAGTGAGTCAACATTTTGGGTGCATGACCCTTCGTCAGAAAGGGTTCTGAAAGGGTTCTAACGAAGGTTCGTGGACCCGAAATGTTAACTCACTGTCCTTTCTCTGTAGGTTTGCCTGACCTGCTGAGTGCTCCTAGTGATTTCTGTTTTTGTTTTCATTTTTCCAACATCTGCAGTATTTTGCATTTTGGAGACATTTTATGAAATTGGCCAATCATTTTCAATCCTTCATTGAGGTTGCTTTGAACATGCTCATACTAGAAACAGTCAGTGCAATGGGTCAATGTCGTCTATAAACAACAACACCGACAAATTACATTTGTATAGGTGCCTTTCCCGTTGTGAAGACTTCCCAAGGCACTAAACATTTGGTAAGAGAGCTTCCTCAGAATCTTGATTCTTTTCTGTTGGTGTGGGTTCGTGAAGGTAGAGTTTCTGGTTCACCCATAAGACTACCTTGGGACCTTGTTAAGTATTAGCTTCATTAGATTTTACCTAACTAGTTATTTTCTTTCATCCCATAAGATAACATTTCTGCAGCTTTGTGCCATGCTAAAAATGCTGCTTGCTTCTACCTCATTCATACTAACATTAAGTAATTAAAATGTACAGCTATGTATACTTTCCACATGCATGGACTGTTGGAAGGATCAATCATTTTCTCTTAACTTCATTTAAAGCATGAATTTGAATACATGTACAGTAGGATTATGTGAGTTTTTGATGCGTACATCTTACTAATCAAATAAAACATTGCTTTTCATTTTATATTGGAAGAAATACATTTCATACAAATAGTTTTGTTATCATGTAATTTATGTTACTTTAACAGTGATTTTAAGTAAAGTAAAAGTTTGTTTTTATCATCGGATAGAGGGTACAATTTGCTGCATTACTGTACAATATAATGTTTAGTGTCCTCTCATATAAAATGGAATGCAAGTTGCATTCACAAAGTATCATTTATATCATAGAATCTCGTCAAGTGCTTAACAATGAGTGTTGTTGATATCAAGCAGGAAGAGAGAGAAATTTAAAGATGACCAAAGGCACAGTTAAAGAGAAAGGTTTTTAAGTGAGGGTTGAAAGCCAGGAGAGAGTTAGCAAGGTAAATTCATTTTGCAAAAGATTTTCAGGGGATCAGGCTGTGGTGGCTGAAAGCCTTCAATAATGGAACGGAGAGGAAGTGGGCCACGAGCAGATAATTGGGAGTCAGAGACATGGCGTGCAGGCGGGGATGTCAGGGTGGAGAAAGTTACACTCATAGGGAAGATCTAAGAATATTGGAGGGATTTGAAAACCGGAAGAAGATCTTGAAATCAATCTACTGTAAAACACAGACACAGTTGAACTTGACAAGGAAAGCAGGACTCTTAGCTGAAGTTTTAAATACGTTGACTTATGTTGACGGGTGAAACCGATCAGGCCAGTGAAGATAGCATTGATATCTGCATGACTATGATAATGGAATGTCTGATACAACTAAAAAGAAACTTGTAATAGAAATAACAAATATAGGAACATAGGAATTGCTAGGTGATAAAAGAACAAGATCCATCTAGTTCAACTTCTACCATCCTGGTAGTTGCATGCTACAATAATGGAGATGTTGATAGCAATTACTTCTGTATGGATTAGTCTACCATCATAGTGGAAAGTTTTGGGAACATTAAATCCAAAGTTGCCTAGTTCTTCCAATTACACTACACTTGTCTTATATGATATAACATAATAGAATACATTATAGCAGCTTTGAAAATGAAGTGTGATTACTAGAATGTATGCTATTATATATGTGTTCTATTGTTTTCAGGTACTCTGGAAAATAAATTGTTTCAGCGCGTAAAGTTACACAATATATGTCTTTCGTTAGAATTTACTGTATTACCAATTGCCAAACAAAATAATTTTGTTTCAATTTAATGGTCCATATTTGGTTCATTTATTTCTATAGTGGCAGTTTTGTAAATCTAATACATTTCATTTATAGCATTTTGTTACCTTTACATTTATTTTGTTATCTTTACACTTATTTTTTGAGAAGACCTTTCGTTTAAAATATAAATTGACTTTCATTGGGCGGTGTGGAATTGGAATGGTGCGGGGGCTGCTATTGATGTTGCCGAGAACATGACCTATCCTTTCAGAATAAGCATAAACATATAGCACTTAAACTTCAATGGATAAACCTCAATTTAGTAATACAGATTTAAAATGTTGGAAAAGAAATATGGCAGAGAATCAATGTTCCTCCCCCCCCCCCCCCCACACACACACACGTACAAAGGTTCAAAGGAGTACGATTCTCATATTACATTGTGTTGATATTAATCTACCGTTCCTAAAACCTACTTAGAAACGCAAAACTTTGGCTGGTCCAGTATATTATTGTGGCACTCTGAACCATCAGTCACTAGTTTCTCCTCTTTTATATTTTACTCCCAACTTTCTCTCTGCGGTGAGAGCTGCAATTTGTTTTAACAGATTAATGAGGAATGTTGAGAACGCCATACCTCCAGTCGCTAAGTACAATTTGGCAATGGGTGTGAAGCTCCTCCCCTTCTTAAGATGATTTAAGTGCACTGGTTGAGTGCAAATCCGGTCTAAAGATTTCAGCATTGTTATTGTTGGGGAAGGGGCTAGTGTTTTGATTTTTGTTGCCACCAGATCCTCCTCCTTGGGGGGGGAGATACTGGGGTCTCCTTGAAGCTGAAGTGCCTCCAAAATCACATGCCTGGCAATGGAATGTTGGAATCAAGTCAACTTTCTGTGTGGGTCTCAGTGGGCCGGTTCCTGAGGCAGGCAGGTTCACACTATTCCAAGGCATTGCTATTGACAGACCAGCTAGCCTGGCTCATTAGGGGACTTGGAGGGACAGACTGGTCAGTTGGGGCCAGGGATTCTTTCCATCCAGCTGGGTGTCTGACACATGTGGAAACCAATTACAGAATCCATGTTTAAGAGGATCCAAACCAAACGGAGAAGTTCAGGCATCCCACCTACATTTGGAAATTCCAGAGATAGATTGTTGGACTCTGGACCCCAAGCCGTGACTTTTGTCACCTAATACTCGCCTAATACTCCGGGGAATTAGATAAGCAAGATAAGCCCCCCCGGGAAGAGAGTATGCATTCCATTGCAAATACAGGAATATTAATTCTAGGTGGCATGCCTGAAATTCTCAGTTTAGTTTGAATACTCTTAAGCATGGTAATGGGTTTTCACATGTGTCAAACATTGGCTGATCAAAAGTAAATTGCCAACTTATTTCCTTAAAGGCAACATCTCTGATGACTTCAACATTGGCAGTGCTTGCCCAGATGATCACTCTTCATTTGTGAGTCTAGTCAGTGAGTCATTCAAGCATTGGGTCATCAGACCTGAAGGTGAATCTGTTTTTGTCCAACATCCAAAAATACGCACTTTCTTTCAGAGGCCACTGGAGAGCGAACAACCTTGCTGATTTGCTGTGGACCCTATTGATTACATTTTTTACTGTCATTTGATTTGCCACCATTTTTCTACCCTTCAGTATTTTTCTTTTTCTCTTTCTCTTTGTTTGACTAGCATCATTTAAGGTCATTTTCTTGACTTTGAAAAGTTAGATGGGCAAAGAGTAAAACAAGACTCTGTGAGTGAACAGAGCTAGATGGACTTCTCCTCCACAGATATAGAAATAACAAACAGCACCTATCTTGCACATCTGGAAGAGTCCCTGCTGAATTGCATTTTGGAATGCGAAGCCTGACTTAGAAGAGTTTAGAATATCTTGTCTAAAGTATATTGAGGAATGCTTTTTTTGTTGTTACAGAGTACAAATCATTTTACTCTTTTGCCCATCCAACCTTTGAAGGTACCATGTCTGAATATTATTCTTGGTGTGGGAGGAGCTGAGCAGGCCTCCATGGAGTTGAATTAAGACATACCTGGAGACACTTGGTAAAGTCCAGACAAGTCTGCTGGAATCCAAGGCACTGTCATAGTTGATGGGCTAGTCTGACTCATCAATGAGAATTTGAGGACTAAACATGTCATCAGTACCAAGAGCCAAAGCCTTATCAGATAGGGTGGTCCTAACTAGACAAGTAACATGAAACTTACCAGTGACACTTACTCAAGGTGGTCTTAACAAACAGACTCCAGCATGATTCCATCTCAGATTACAGTGCTCAACCCTCATTTGTACTACATTTTTTATGACCAGGAAAGAAACACAGTGAATCATCTCAGAGAGTCCGGTCCAAACGAGACGAGCGATAACCACGGTTCGTCTAGGTGCTGCAAACCGCTCGCGTATTCCTAATTATAGCACAGAGAAATGTCAACAGAACAAGGCTGAAATTTTGATCTATGTGATCATTTCAAATAGCGCACTTTACCCCCTATTAATAATGCTCTACCTACAGATCTAACTAGTTCTGAAACTTACATTACTCTTTGTCATTCAGAGACCTGAATCTGCTGATCAGTGTGATAGTTAAAAGATGGTACTTTTAGATGTGGTGGGGTGGGGGGAGTACTTTATTCAGAAAGTTATTTCCCTTTAAAGACATTGCAAAAGTAATTGGCAGAATTAATTGTCCTTCA